AGAAACAAACATCACCGACTGCAATCGAACGCTGCCCAAATGTTGGCATCGCGTGCAGTGGTACACGTTCTGGGATAAGTCAACAAGTGCGCCCGCGGCTCACCTCCAACGAAACGCCGCAGTCGCGATGGTCACACCACTGTCGCTGGTCGACACGTGGACAACGGTCGTACGTTCTCCATGCTACAGTATACCCAACCCAAGTATCGCGGGCGGCGGGTACGCGACCAGTAGCGACGTGTATATCGCCCAATCAGCAGCGACAATGGTGCGGCTCCTTGCGGTGCGGCGCTGCGCTTGTGGCCACTACATGGCAATGCCCCCGCCCATTCTGGTATTGGGCCAGTAGCGCGATACCATTCGATACCGCGCTAGCAAGGCTCGAGCAGACGCGTACGACCGTGATGTTCACGCTCAGTCGCATGCAGATATGCGTGCATGATCACCTTCACGGCTTGTTACCTCACAGATTCTACCGCGTCAGTCGTGTCTATGGCGGTAAGCCTAACTCGTCCTCGGCCAGCGTTGCAGCTCTTCGGTGTTCTCCTCACGAAACACCACATAAATCATAAATCGAATCCGCACATGCCGGCGAAGCTCTAAGGGGGCAAGGGGCTTTGAGAAAAACTTGCCGCCAAGAATCGGCAGTCTGGCAACGCTTCCTGCGACTACTACTGACCCGAGTCGCGCGTCGTCATGCCACGGCAGCCACGAAGATGCTCTCCAAACCTGGACAGTGGTCACTGCTCGTCAAGGGCATTTCGAGATACGATTCCTATCCAGTGCTTAACCGCTTGTCGTCAGTCGACGGCTACTACCGTCGCCACAAAGCCAGAGTCAAGGTGTCAGTGTCAAACATTTTCTACTATCACGTTAATATAATATTACTGATAATTAAATTGAGTTTCTTTTATTGGAGGAATGTCGGTCGGTCGGTCAGTGGAAGGGCAGATGCGCGCGCCGTACCGGCGGCATGACGGCTTAAAAAGCGGCCGCTGCGGCCGTCATAAGAGGAAACGTCTCCGATGTGACGGAAATTCAATGCGCGAAATCGTAAATTTTAATAGAAAATGCAAAATTATATGGAATGAAATAGCGGCCTCTCATCTGTCGTCGGCACATGTATTTATTAAACAGCTCAAATGGACCATAAATACGGCTCGTTAACGTCTTTACGACGACATGTTTGCGACGAAAAATTGTATGAATTCCATGCACTGACGACGGATGAGGATGCGTGCGCGCTCGTGCACCGCACCTATGACTGAACTGAGCTGCGCTCATCGTCCCTTCTAGCTCGATCCGCCACGTTCCCTGTGTGTGCATCCATTAAGCGGATGTCAGTGCACGTGTATTGCCCGGTTCGTTACTTGCTACTGCCTTGACCGTTGAACCACGTTATTCCAGTCGCTCTGCGGCGTACCGCGTCCAACATCAAGTAAACGGGTAACTAAGGCTTGCCGACAACGCGTCTCCTGTACAGTCGTCTCCCGGCAAACGCCTGAAGAGGAAAGTTTCACTCGCTAATTAAATCAAGAAAGTTGAGAGGATTCAATACCTCACCAAGTACAAAGAAGAACGTTTGTCACTGACCAGCAGCAACTTATGCTTCACCTCAGCAAAACGCTTCAAGTCTACGTCGTACGAAATTTGGCCGTCCTGGCTTTGGAAGTTCCTTACACATCATTCAGTCAGATTCCAGTTTATGAGCGACTCATGCTGCTTGTAGATATTATCGTATTACTACCGGATACTATGCACTGACTATTATTTTATTAACAGCCGCTGCTTATACAGATTCAACAGTCACAACTGCAATTATCTGGCCATGTCTTGCGAATGCCTTCAGTAAGGAAAGTGAAACAGCTACTACTTGTTCAACCGACTTGTTGAAGATCCAGGGGAATGGCCAAGAATGATCTTGGGCAAGTGTCTCGACACTCTCTGTGTCAGACTCGGGTTATTTTCTGCTGGCATCGGATCGGCAACGACAAAGAAACGGTCTGAAGCGTCTACCATCGCGACCAGAAAGATAAGCGGTCATCAGAACTTGTTATTAGTATATATTTATATTAAAAAGTGCAACCTTGGAAGCAAATCACGGTTAAAATGAAATATCGCATGTATGACGAGTGAAACGTTAAGTCTACTCTACTCAACCACTACGGTAAGTGATGGAGTCTTGTAACTGACCGACGAACGACCTGCAGACGAGGCAGCGCTAACAGGCAGCGACCAGTCCGTTCATGTTTTTACGTAAATTTGCTCAGTACAGGGATGCAGTGACCACAAATCCAAGGAGCAGACGTTGTTGTCAGTATCAGCTGATAAACGACGACGTGGTTCTTCGATTAAGCAGTTCTCGGTGAAAGAGAAAACGCAACTTCCCTTCGTACAGCGATTTGGCCCACTAAACGTCTCTGCCTATGTCACGTTTGTACATGACGATCCACGTCAGAAGCATTAGCGCTTAGGACTGCGGTCTGTTTAGGACAATTCCAAAAGGGGATACAAAGCAATCATCACGTAGTCACATCATGTTAAAAACGCTGAGAATTGATATAACCCGTAGCCCAAACGAAAGGCCGAATACAATCAAATCAAAGCGCACGCTAAACATTATCTTAAATTTGACTTATGCTTGCATCTTTCCACTTCCTCTGGCCCACCTACGGACAAGACTTGACTCGCTTTTCTGTTACAGTAAATGCGCGTACAAGGCGTTCAGAAACCAAACTACCTAAGCAACAGACAATGCTCTTGGGGTCCAGCAGATGCTTTAGAAGGATCGTCACGACCACATCAAAAACGGAGTCGCTATGACTTAGCTGAGAGCAAATGAAACACGACTGATGCCTAGCCAAGTGCAGAAACCGTGATCATTGCGGCCCCCAGTACGATGCAAGGGTATCAGTGATAAATGCCTCTAAAACAAATGGTTGCGTCATGCAACTTTCTTCACCTGCAGCACAGGGTACTCATTCAGGTGCTGACCTCATGTGCTGGGCAAAACTGGCATGGCTACAACAGATAAGGACCATTCATCTTCATCTGAAAGTACATGAAACTCAAGCTGTAGAACATTTTGCGCCAACTGCAAGTTATTCGCAAGTCCATATTCTATGGCGAAAAAATGAGGACTCTGTTCTAAAAGGAGGTCAAGGATCGAGATGCTCTGCACCGAAAGACCAGCGGAAACTCGTCAACACTGATTGAACAACTGATCAGCCGGACGCAAGGACAGGCCTGAAACATATGGCGGCACGCGCAGAGCAAAGGGCGACTTTGCAACGGTCGTTTGTGGACTAAACAGTGACAACAGTACAAAGGATTATGGTCTACTGGGACTCCACCTCGTGTTCTCGGCCAAAGTATTAGTTGTAGCGACTTGCTGTGCAACAGTAATGTACTTTCAAAATAGCGTCCGTTTCTTCACACCACGCACATGTATGCGAATACGCATGTTTGCATCGAACGTCGGTGCAGCCAATTTCCTTTTCCTCACGTTCCGCAACTTTCACTAGGCTGCCAACAAAGCCAACGCTCGAAATACATAGCTGCCTGCGACAGCTTCCTCGACGTAAGCTCCCTACTTCCTTGATTTGTGTTGAATCGTTCTTGCTCTGCGTTCACGTTTACGCATCTTTGAAAGGACGCCTTTGTCGCTATAACGATGTTAGAAAAATTCCGCTAGGTGATTTCCAAAACCGACAGACGATGTCAGTTCGTGAAGGTAAAATATTCACTTGACACAAATGACAGAAAACACCTCATTTAACCCTGTGCCGACCATACCGCCGTAATTATATATGCGTAGCGTAGGTCCCAGAAAACTGTATTCCGATCTGGCACCAAATCGCTGGCAAAGCTACCGGCTTCGCTGTCATTGTCATTCAGGCAAGAAAATGAACGTTGAATATCAAAATATATATTGGCACTGAGGAATTCCAGGTCGGATCATCCCAGATGACCTCATCGTTGTTTGCGCTAACAACGTGTAACGATATTTTCTTATATAGTTACATTTTCAAGGCAGCTTCACAGAAACGAAAGAAATGACGCTTGCACGTACATATACACACATTCACAGTGTTACTTTTCATCCGAATTATACAAATTTAATAACATTGGGCACATATCTGTGCAACACTGTAACTGTATTTCCTAATCTCTACCTAACTGGATGAAATCACATATCGTACTTTCGTGATATCATCCCTCAAGCATTACACGAATCTTTTATCTACCTTGCCCCGGAGTCATTTCCATTCAGAGGGTAAAAGAAACGAAACATTTCAGATGCTTTTTATGGAGATGAATACGGTATGTATCAATCCTTCCGTCCGATACATAGCTGGCTGTCCTATTCCTACATTGCGTAGCTCTAAGGGCAGGCATAACGAGGCCTTTCATATCAAGATCGCTTTCTGTTAGCAAACGTTATGGCAGGAAATGATGACTAAGGAAAATGCTTCAGCAAGACGAATCAGAGCAGTTAAGCTTACGATCTGAACCGAATGGCCGCCAACCGGTTTTGGACACTTATGGCAAAATGATCGGGGTCTCCGGTCATTAAAACTCAGGGTCTCCGGTCATTAAAACTAAAGGATCATACGATCGAGCGAAGTGGGATCGGGTGTATACACTGCTGAAGAAAGTTACTATGACCAAGAAAGAACCAAGAAACTAGAAGCGACGACTAGGGACCAATGTTCGTATTAATACCAGAGCAAAGCACAGCCAGAGTTTTTCGCCATGCCGCCTATCTTTTAAACGAAGTTTTGGCAAGTTTTTGGCAAGAAAGGCGAATCCTGAAATTTTTCTTTGTTCATAAGTTGAGCTTCATGACGCTGAAAGCATAGACGGAGATCCTTTTAGTGCCCATCGACACATTTCGTATAATAAACTGACACACAAGATAGCGCACAATGACTCAAGATTTCTGGCCCAGAATCGAAAACAGCCTCAAAAATTGCTTAAATATATTTACCAGCAAACATTAACAGTCCAATATGAACTTTGCTCAGCCCTTGTTTTTCTCACTGCTAAGGCTTTCTCACCAGCTGTCTACTTTTTTTTCATAAATCGCAAATTT